CGAGTTTTAGAACTACCGAGAATTTTGCATATTTCTGAAATTAAAATAAGTTGTAGAAAACGTTTTAATTAAGCATATCAGATATTAGTTATCATTAAGTAATTACAAAGTCATGACATTTTCTGTCTGTCCATAGTTGTTTGATCAAAATGTACAAACACATTCTAAGGTACGAAAACAAATAGAACTTCAAGTACTTTACTAGAGAACCAAGAATGTGTGTATGTTTATTTTAAATAATCAAGTGTATTATTCAGTTATGAAGGGCTGAATGCGGCCCAGTGGTTAGCGTGTACGACCGTGGAGTCGAGGTTCATGTCCCATTACCACCAGTAAAAAAGAATCACTCGCGGCACTTTAAGGCCGTGGATATGTTATAAGAGTGACAGTCAAATCTCACTATTCGTAATGGCGGTGAGAGCTGTTGGCTATTGCTTTTCCTCTTGTCTATCACTTTAAAATTGACTACTGCAGACAGTTCTTGTGTAGCTTTGCGTTGTTGCTTCAAATTCAACAAACAAATCATTTATGATTAACACTTCCTAGTGTTAGTTACGCACCTAAGACTTTTTCAGTACTTAATCATTTCCTTTTAACATAGTTTCTGTTTTTAATGACGTGAATCTCGATTCATCTGTTTTATATATATATATATATGTAAGAACTCCAGAAAACCTCTTTGTTAGGACTAAACACTTAATTCTAAAATGTACGAAATTCATTTTAAGTACAATTGTGGGAAATATATTTAATCACACATGTAAGCTACATGATTTAACAACTTAACTAAATAGTCAACTATTATTGTTATAATTGCATATCACAACTGCATTTTTAAAAATATGAGACCAGGGCAGGGTTTGCTATAGTACCGGCAGTACCAGGTTGCCGATACCAGTACCGGTACTCGAGCATCTCTAATGATGTAACTTGAGCAGTTAGAAATTCAACTATTCTTCCAAGTGTGTTCTCGTGGGAAAATCGTTTTTCATATCAAACCAAATTGTCAATTATCTGTAAGCCCACGTGGTATGACGACTATGGCAATGAATCAGTTGACATCTAAGCTTTTTATTGTTTATAGATTTAATGGGAGTCGGCTTCAGAAAAATCTATTAGCAATTTGTAAATTAGAGCATGTCAAAGGTAAGCTGAAAGTGGTTTTTGAATTTTCATTGATTGCTCTTTAGCCCTGTAAGAGTGAAGAATATAAGAATATAGCTTCAGAATATCCACAAAGAAATTAAAGAGAATATTTTACGTTACATTTCGTAATTTTCTAGGGGTGGATAAAAAAATCCAGAAGAGGAGACGGGTCAAGAACAAATATCCAAATTCTAATACTAGGTGAATTTGAGGTTGTTTTTAAATATTTTCTTATAAAATTAAAACATAAAACATATATAATATTAAAATTTGATTTATTATCTATGGTTTGATGTCAGGTTTGTTTGTATACCATGATAATGGTATAAATTAAGGAAACAAAATAAGATTTAAGCAAAAACCTCAAAGAGGCAGTTAGTTAATTGATGTAAAATGAATACTAGTGAAAACAAACCAACTAAACAGCAAAAATCAATCACTTATTCCACGTGCGCAAGAGGTACCGTCCAGCACGAAAATCCACAGTGATGCCTTTATGAGACTTTTATTTGCTTATAAAACCCTTTTTTCTCTTTCTCTTTTTCAAGCTCAGGTTCCTTTCTTGCTAAAAGACAGCGATGACCTATGAATTCCCATTACTAAAATACGTTACTTGTCAGTGCGTATTGCGTAAATTTTGAGCTCCTACAGTGCAATGTTCGTCTTTGGTAATCAAGCTACGTAGCAAGTGCTTATGTGATAAACAGGAATTACACTCCAGGTGAACATCAGCTGGTTTTAGTGTAGAGGCTTCTAATCTATGATTAAACGTGATTACAAAAAGACATGATCTGGTTATCAATGAACTTAAAGTGGCAGATATACCTGTCGGGGGGGGGGGACTTCTAATGTCTCATTCATATATAAAGATAACTCAATAAAAACGAACAATGTGATATAAAAAGTGTCTAAGGATTTTCCAGAGAGAACTGTTTTTTAAGTAATTACAAATAATTGGCAAAATATAAATTTGCTTCAAGATTATTTTGTGTTCATTTTGTATGCGGTATTATATCATTTTCAAATGTGTATCAATTTCTTTTCCAGGATTAAAACTTTCTTATATATCGTATCATACCTTTAACCCCTCATTTTCCAATACCACTAAGCTTTTTTTGGGTAACTCAAAGTTAGTTAATATTAATGTTGCTGTTTTTGGAAAAAGAAAAATTCAGTTTCATCACTTGTTTATTATTGGTATTCGAAATTAGAATAAGTATTAGAATTGTTTCTGTTAGAGTGCCTATTTTATTGAGATACCTTCATAAATGAAATAGACCCTCCTTCCCCCTAAAACAACAACAACAAACACACACGAAAATGGTCGATAAAAAGTATCCAATAAGATCCAATTTTGAAAATACATAAAACTAATACGAGAAATTTACCAGATAATATAAAATTTATAAACTACGAAAATAATCGCATAAAAAGTATCCAACAAGACCCAACTTTAACAACGAATAACAAGGTTTTGATAATAAGGTTAGCAAAAACTACCTTTACACTCCAAATGATTATAAGAGAATTTATACTTCATCCGACGTTTCGCCTTTGCGGCTTCTTCTAACTTTATTATCAAAATGTGTAAATCCTTACAGTATACACTCGAAATTCTGGAAGACAACAAAGAACAACAATCTTCCTAAAGTGTGAAACTTTATGCACTCGAAATTTTGGAAGACAACAAAGAACAACAATCTTCCTAAAGTGTGAAACTTTATGCACTCGAAATTTTGGAAGACAACAAAGAACAACAATCTTCATAAAGTGTGAAACTTTATGCACTCAAAGTTCTGGAAGACAACAAAGAACAACAATCTTCATAAAGTGTGAAACTTACAATATCTAGGGATGCCTGTCTAATTGCACTGATTTGTATTCTTCTGTCTGTCATTACTTAACAATATATAATATGATTTTTATAATTCTCATTATTAAGTGTTATATATTTTATTGTTGCCCTTGGTGGTTTAGCGGTAGATCTGTGGCCTTATAACTCTAAAGAATCGAGTTTCTATATCCGCAGTGGGCAGATAGAGCACAGATGGTTCATTTTGTAGCTTTGCGCTTAACAACAAACAAACGAAATCAGTATTGTTGTTAAATTCAACTTAACGCCCTCTATGAAATATAACTTGTAAACTTTCATAGGGTGAGTATATACGTGGTTGTTGTTTAAATTACTCAAATAATGCTCAATTTTAGCCTAAAGATAGCTCATTCCTATGATGGATATATTCCAGTTGTGAATCTGTTTTTTTTTATACTTCAACGACTTATCCAATGAGGTTCTCACATCAGAGTAAACTTCCAATCGTTTTCGTATAACATTTATTACCACACTGCCTTTGAATAAATCAGAAATGCGGTAGGCTATTTAAATCCTTTTTTTTTCTTTTATGAACTGCATTGTGCTATGATACCAGCAAATAACCATCTTACCTATTGGATGTATCAAAAACGAATATTTGGTCACTTTACCAATACGCCGTAACCGCGGCATTCCTATGATGTGTATGAGTTTAAATGTTGGCTCTTGTAACGAAACGAAAAGCGGGATCACATGTTTCTCAAATGTCGTACTTTTGAAGTAGAATATAGATGAGGAGAAAAAAGATATTGGATTTAGAAACATGAGGTCCCTTTTAGCACTAGTTTCGAAAATTAGCATATTCATTGTGTTTATATATGTATATATATATATATGATAGTTTCTTTTGCATACTTTCCAGTTTTTTATGCTGGTAAAAAAACATATAGGAGGAAAAAGTATGGTAAATCACATTTTAAAAACTCTAGCGCTTTCGGCAGTGAACTAATTTTTTTCTCAAGGGTAAATTTTTGTTTTGTGTATATTTATCAGCTTTTTACACATTACAATCAGTCTTCTGGCACGTTCTTCGAGGTCGCATTTCAAACCTCTTGTATAATAAACTGAAATGTAATGCCCTCTATCTATCAGTCTGTCTGCCTGTCTTCACGTAAACATTCTTATATCATGTAAAAAAAAGTTTTTTTTCGTTCTTTCCGTTGCTGTGGTTCATTGACCTATGAAGATTTAGATAGTGTAGCTAATATTCTCTCTCTTGTATATATGTGTGTTTACGTGTATGTACATATGCACATTCAAGTGTATAATGACAATATTCTGCTTTTTTCAAAATGTAGTTCGTTGATCTTTAATTACCTAAGCTGTTATAAAATAATCAATAAAGCTCCGGATGACAGTACATCTATGTACTTGTTTACTATGCTGCGTATCACAACAGTCACGTATTTTTTTATCTCTTTACTCATCGATATAGTTACAGCTGGTTGTTTAAAATTATGCACATTTAAGTACATATTCCACGAACAAGGTTATTCTGGTTCACACACCTACATTTTATTTTCTAGATGGGTTTTACTCAAATATATTGAATGTTCTTGTTCTAGCTTAATCGACAATTTTCAATAAAATACATAAGTACATGTGTACACGTGCTGTAATTGCACTCATAAAAGAACTAAATTGAAATATAATTTATAAAAAAAAAGTAAAATCTAGATTTAGCAGGAAATCTCGATAAGTATGGAAAAACTAAAATAACTCTTAAATATTTGTCGGTATACATCTGAAGAAACTGAAGGAGCTTAAAAATAATCATTCCTGTTCATTTTGAGTAAGTGGCAATATTGCTGTAAATAAAGATTCGTTTTAATCTTTCTTACTAAGCACGTTATTAGCAGATGCACACACACATATATATAAATAATTAAACGTATTTCATCACGTCCAGTGGTTCAGATATTTATATCCAAAATCATATCCTAGCAGCTTAGGGTAAATGTTGATTTGTGGACAATCATACCTGTAAATATTCGTTGAGGGTGTTAGGATCCCTGTTGTCCAGATCAGGCCCACTTGTATTGGTCATGTCTCTGACCGTCACTGAATGAGCGTTGCCGGACACAAAGGCAACTGGCTGGTCTGAAGTTAAAATTTTGAAAGTTTCTAAGAAAGATGAGATGAAGAAAAGCAGATAGTTTCTGACGCAGCAAAGCCTAACCAATAGCTAGTCTGAGTTATAGTGTCATTGGAAAGTACAGAAAGATTCTCCAACAGAAAATAATGTTAAACACGTGCTCCGTTGGTTTGTTTTCTCGGTGAAGCGTCGTGAATGGCTCATTGCAATTTAAAGCGTTAGGGAATGGTACATAAAATGGTTACTATAGCAACTAAACCACGTATACAGTCTTAGATTAACGACTAAGCCTATTACAGATATGGTGAAAAATTCCGCACGCAACGCCCTGCGTTTCTCGAATGATGTCATAACTCAACATAGCCTCGAATCGCGTTCTCAAAAACAAATGTGATGACGTTCTTGATAATCCTTAAATTTGACCCACGCCTCTTTCAGACAGCCTATTCATAAAATGTGGGATGATTATAAGTTCATATCAATGATACAGAACCAACAATAAATCTTATGACCATGAGTTACGTATGATGTTTCACCTAACTATCCACAAGCATTTAGGGTAGATTAGAATAAGAAAAAAGTATTAAGTTCCCCTTCCATGAATTACTTTTAGTTTTCAATAATAAAAAAGCCTTATCTTTCTCAACACCAGCATATAAAATGGAATTTTTGTAAGAGTGCTTATTACGAACTTTCCATTTTTAAGGAGAAATTTAACACGAACTTTTCATTTTTAAAGAGAAATTTCATATGAACTTTCCATTTGTTAAAGAGAAATGTAATATGAACTTTCCATTTTTTAAGGAGAAATTTAATATGAATTTTTTATTTTTAAAGTGAAATTAAACATGATTTTTTTAATTTTTAAGGAGAAATTTAATATGAACTTTCCATTTTTTAAGGAGAAATTTAATATGAACTTTTTATTTTTAAAGTGAAAGTAAACATAATTTTTTTAATTTTTAAAGAGAAATTAAATATGAACTTTACATTTTTAAGGAAAAATTTAATATGAACTTGTCATTTTTAAAGATAAATTTCATATGAAGTTTCCAAGAGAACTTTTAAGAATAAAATAACAAAAATGAAGATAAAAACAGAAAAGATGATTGTTTGGATTAACTGAGAAATAACTAATTGAAAATTAAAGAATAGTAATTTTTTTCAGTGTCTAGAACACGACACTAACATATAATACGTCTTGCCAAATATCACTCAGTGTCTTATTATCTCCAGATAGCATACACTTTATTAGTTGTATATTCATTAACTTCTTTCAGATTATTGATCAAATATATATTTAATATATTTTTGCTTAGTTCTCTGTCCGGAGACACAGAACATTAGAATTTAAGACAATCTCACACATTTTGTTTGTTGTGTTTATTTTAACGTACTAAACACGACGATAACATGAACAATTCTTACTTATTTCAATTTCATTTTCTTTATGAGATACAAATCAGTTCTAAGGGTCTTAAGCTTTTTTTGTATAGTTCCGACAATCAAACTACTGGTGGTGGTGTATTAATGTGGGAATCTTTATCGTATCAAGATTTGTGTTCTTTGGTTCCTTTCAGAATGGCAAATGAATAAGATCCAGATTGTATCTGAACGTTGTTTACCACACAATGTTACTTTTCTTTTTTATCCTGATGCACTGTTATTACAAGACAATGATCTTTTTATACCCTGATGCACTGTTCTTATAAGACGATAATATTTTTTACCCTGATGCACTGTTCTTACAAGACGATAATCACTTTTTATACCCTGATTCACTGTTCTTACAAGGCAATAATCCATTTTTATACAATGATGCACTGTTCTTACAAGACGATAATCACTTTTTATACCCTGGTGCACTGTTCTTACAAGGCGATAATATTTTTTTATACCCTGATGCACTGTTCTTATCAGACGATAATACTTTTTTACCCTGGTGTCCTATTCTTACAAGACGATAATACTTTTTTACCCTGATGCACTGTTCCTGCAAGAGAATAATCCCTTTTTATACCCTGATTCACTGTTCCTACAAGAGAATAATCTCTTTTTATACCCTGATGTACTGTTCTTATAAGACGATAATACTTTTTTACCCTGATGCATTGTTCTTGCAAGACGATAATCCTATTTTATACCCTGATTTACTGTTCTTATAAGACGATAATACTTTTTTAACTTGATGCACTATTCTTACATGACAGTAATACTTTTTTATCCTGATGCATTGTTCTTATAAGACGATAATACTTTTTTACCCTGATGCACCCTTCTTACAAAACGATAATGCAACAATTCATTATGTTAGTATTGTCTAACTTTGTCTGAAGAGCATGACAATGACTTCAGTCATCTTTTTTTATGTAAATTTAACTAATTGAGCATCATTTTTGCAAAGGAGTTCAGTGTCGTAACCGTCCACCGTAATTATTTAAATGCAAATACTTTGAGGAAATATATTGTCTAGAGTATTAATATATATATTAGCTTTCAAGTATGTGGTATCATTAATCAAGTATCCTGTATACAGTCGTTATTACTCCTATAATTCCGTTATTAAATTCATATATTCATTCCATTATGTAGTTCATTTCCATAAGCAGTAGTTGCAGTTTTTGGAATAACCTAACATCAAAATTATAAAGACAGAATTCTGTATAGCCTACCCCTACATATCTATCTTAACAAAAACTTCAGAAGTCTGAATACATTATAATAAAACGATTTTGGAGCCTCATAACATTCCCTGTTGCCACGTTTGGTCATGCTCTATCTTACGACCGTGAATCTCGACAGTAGCCTCCTGTAAGGCAGTTTCTGTTGGAAAAGGCCCTGTCATAAAGCTGCCATGTGCACCAATCCTCTGTTTTACTGTTACCTACCACGGTTGGGACACGACTTGTTGTAGGTCTCTTTTTGAATGGTCCTTGTCCTAAAACTGGTTCATATTGTTTACTTTAACAATGTCGTTAACTACGAAAGATATTGTTGTCTTGGAATTCTAAATTTTTCATCTGAACGTATCTTCATGATCTGAATTTATGTAAAGGAATATTTTGCTATACGCACCTTTCCTAAAACCGATCGATTTTCGGTGGTGTCACACTACATACCTATTGATACATGCCCTTACACCGCAACTTTATATCAGCTGTGGCTGTCATGTGACTTGCTGATTTTCATAATCAGAATCGTTTTGTTATTAGATACTCATCCCTGTATTGCAATTATCACTAACCCTTTTCATAGGAATAATACATATATTAAAGATTCACAATATTGGATTCCGCGTGACTAAAGTCAACTGTATACAGAGCAAGTCAATTAACATATGACCAAAATTCTGACAATCAGCTTGAACGTACAATAGGGGGCATAAAACAAAACATACACTATTAATATGCCATAACTGTTTGTTTATGAAGTATGTTGATAATTGTATGCCAAATAGTTCGTGCATAGATGTTTCATTCATTAACACAGTTGATAAATCCAAACTATTTCTACAACTGCTATAACTTTTTATTAAATGAGAAGCATTTCAATTACTGAAAAAGTACATGATAACAATATGCTATATATATATATATATATATATATA